TACACGCGGCAACCGATGCGCGTGAACCGTGTATAAGTAACTTTTTATGGAATACGTTGTCCTTAAAGTGGAAGATCGTTAAACGCGCCGCGATACCCGCCGTAAAACTGTCGTGTCTTCTCGAACAAGTGCGTCTGGTAATTCCCTCATCAGCAAACACCTGGCTCCTCGGGTCCTATTCGATTATTAAAATTCTCTTCCCGCCGGTTTCAGAGAGTGTAAACAGTTTAATGCCTTATAGTTTGGCGCCTGGAGCGCCGTAGGAATCTAAATATTTACCGCAACTTTCTGCTAAGTTTCGAGTCTGCGGATCGTGGAAAGTCTTCTGTGCTTTTACCGTAATTCCCTTCTTTTCGGAGCAGATTGTATACTGTAATTCTTTCCGGAGTGAATCGTGCGAGTGAAGACAATAGTTTTCGGTATTTCTAACGTGACAGTTGAACCTATCGGTGCTTCGACTCATCTCGAGATAACGAGGCTCAATGGCCCCACTGTTCATAAGACATTCCTCCGTTCAGAAATAACCTCCTAAATATACCGCGGCGAAATTTATCGGTTTAATCGCGGAGCGACCCTACGCCGGTGGTTTTTTACGCGTGCGAACACTTCGGTTTTTCCACGGGCGTCTCGCGATAACCTGGCCCCGCGTGTCTCGGCAGCTGAATTCGGCCCATCGAACACAAGGAGCCATTGAAGAAGCAATACGGAACGACACACAAAGAGCGAGCAGCAACCCCGCGTCGGAACGTGGCGCTCGCAATATCGTATTCGCAATAAAGATTGCTTTTCTCTTCTGAATGCTTCGTTGTACCGGGATATTCGAATTTATCGACCCTCCCCTCTGTCTCTCGCGGATAGAAAAGGTCGGCGGGACTGATGCGTATCGTGACGCGCCATTGGAACGATGGGGTTGACCCTAGAAGAAGCAGAACGGGTACGCCGAGTCCTTCGGTTGTAAAATATTCAAAACATGTTTGTTCCTCCGGAGCGGAATATTTTTCGAAAAATTATCCACCGTGACTTGCGTCGGTATTAAACAGTTGTATACGGTATAAAGATATTCCGCGAAAGAAGCGTAAAAGATAAATGAGTCCGAGTCTGGGAAGGTTATAGAGTTAAAAATTGAAAACAACTGTTAATCATCCACGGACACAAAACAATTGAATATTCTTAGCGAAGTCGTATTCGTACGATAGGCAACTGCTTTTCTTTTACGTTTGTTTATCACGTTTAATTAATAATTTTTTTTTCAGTATCATTTGCCTTTGTTATTAAAGGATGCTATTCGAAACGCTAGAAATTCTCGTGGCAGTCGACGTTGATATTAGTTAACGTTGATATTATAGAACGATGATCGATTCAAATGATATTTCTCGAAAGAAGCATCAGAAATGAATTGGTTCCGAGCTTAGAGACGTTCCAGGGTTAAAAGATGGAAGCAATTGAGTATAACCCGCAGCAGACGCAAGAAACCTCGGGATTCCTCGCGGAGGCGCGTTCGTGCGGTAAACAACTGTCTTTTTATTCCCAACAGCGGCGGCACAGCCATTGATTCTGACAATAAATTCGATCGATCCCCTGAAAAACTAGAACCGCATCGTACCGCCGCCGCTGGGCGGCTAGAAGTTTTCTCTCCCGGAGGATCCTCTCCGGTCATAGAGTCCGCCCGCTGTAATTCGAGAGGCAGACGATCTTGCCCCCCTCGCCCTCCGGAGAAGGAGCAAAACACTTTAAGCGCGCGCAGCTGAAGAAATACCCAGCGGCTCGTAAACAATGAATTTCCACCGTTATAAAGAAAGCGTTTGTCATCGCCGGGCCGCGGATCTGTTTGCGTTTACAGCCAATAAAAGTTTGCCCCCGTTCAGCGGGGGAACAATGAAGCACCGACGCTCAACGGGTTTTGATGCCTCATTCCGAAGATGGTTTTTATGTTAATTACTTGCGGCGCTCGTAAATAACAGCGAACGAGAACGATTGAAACTGTCGTCGCCGGGGAAAACATTTCTTCGAGTCCCTTTCAACTTTCTTAGTAAACAGGCAAATTCTTTGTTGCATCTGTGATCTAATTATAAGACAAGACTTCCCTATCTAATGAAATTTTTAAGAAAGTATCTTTGACGAACCGAAGTTATAAAGTTTAGTGCTGGAAAAGAAACAAGTTGATAAATTGGAAATTACACGAAATTCCACGGCAAGTCGGGGCAAATAAAAATAACAAGAAATTTCGTTCTCATCCTGGAGCTGGAGGAGAATCTCGCGCAGCATAGTGGACCACGATCGGACTTCGATCTCCCTATTCCATCGAGAATCGATACGTAAGACGCGCGGGTCCATCGGGAGGCTGTCTAGCGAGTGTATCTCGCGTCGGAAGGGAGACGAGGCGGCCACGATTCGGCCGTGGAGGGTGGAAAGAGAGGAACCGATAGAGAGTCCATCGATCGTCGACGACAAAACACACGCGCGCGCTTAGCTCGCTCGCTAGCCGCGAAAAAAGAGGATCTCCGGTGGACTCGTCTCCGATGTACCCGACGCGTACCCGTTATGCTCGCGTTTCCGACGGGACTTCCCCGGCGCATCCGCCGCTATAGAATTTTATTTTGATTCTTGCACGAGACGCGGATGAAGAGGAGGCTAGAGGGATGAACGGTGGATGAGAGAAAGAGAGGAACAGAGAGAGAGAGGGAAGGGAAAGAGAAAGATAGACAGAGGGAGAGAGAGAGAGAGGAAAGAGAGACGGGTAAATTGCAGGGCGGGTCTTGCCGTGGAAAATCGATGGGAATACACGGAGAGCGCGTGGAACGAACAACGGAGGAGACGAGGCTCCAGGAACGTCAGCGTTCACGTCTCTTCGTGGACGACGCGCGGCCGCTTCCGTGCGGAATCCGCGCACGTACGGATCCACCATTTTCATGGTGTGCCGCCGACGGGTTGTCTCTCGCCGTTTACAGGGATTCGAATGCTTCCCTCCACCCTGTTCGTTTCTGTTTAAGTTGCTTTGCCAACGGGAAGTCAAATGTTACGTACCTCGCGCCGTTTCGAGGATACAAAAGCTTCGGTTCCGGAACTTAGGAATGTTCTGCCGGCGGGGGCGAGCGAGCGGGTCGTGCTCGGCGGTCCTGCTGACGTTTTACCGTATGTGTGTTGACAACGTCGTGCGGCTCGCAGACGGATGGTAACAGTGATAGTGGTGGTGGTGGTGGTGGTGGTGTAGTTGGTGACTATGCTCTCTGGTAGCGGTCGGAGATACGGGAAAAAATGTGCACGCGTAACGCGGCTGCGCCACCGGACCCGAGCAACGGACTGGCTCGAAGAGAGAGTCTCTACTGGCTACCAAAGCAAGCAACGTGTAACGAAACGCGTGCGTCCCCGTCGCGGTGCTACCGTCTACTACGTGTTGCTGCTGCCGGAGCCACTAACGCTCTACCCGCTCTCACTCCACAGCCTCTTCTCTCCTCTCCTGTGCGCTTTCCACTCCACCATCCCTCCGAGTCCACGCAACGGAAAGGTCCGCGCGAGCGGCGCGCGCGGGGTTGCCGCTACCAGCGTCGCCCCATCGCTGCGCCGAAGGATACTTTCGAACGGAGCTGGGTGAATTTCAGAGATCTTATGTCCATCGTTTCGAATTGCGTTGAATATATTCTGCAGGATTTCGAAAGTGATATCTTACCTGCTGTGAATGTAGAGTATTTCTTTGATGGTTGTTGCAGGAGGTTTCGAAATTGATTCACTGAAATTGCGATGCATTTGGTTCTCTTTTGAACTTGACTATCTGCAATTGAATGTATAATAAATAAATGATGAATACCGTGTTTGTATCGTAAGCAAGCATTCTATCTCGGAGAGAAGATGTTGAAAAACTCGAGATTTCTATAGAGTTATAGAATTATACCACCCAGTATATAGCACTTTTACTACTGTACACGACCATGTCACAGGGGATGTTTCCTCGAGTCTCCACAGAACGTCAGATTTTTTTACCTACTCCAGCTTCTTTGTTCATCGCTGAACCTTAAATCTGACTTCTGTTTATGGCCCTGCTGTGTTTACGGGCTTGTTATGTCGTTACCATCGAGTACAGAAGCCGCCAGTGTTTTTCGCCAGTGAAAAGAAGACTGTTACCCGCCGAGCTGTAATTAGCGAATTTGGGTCGAGGGATTCAATAGAATCTTTCGCTTGTTTCGCCTGGTGACTAAGCGTTCGCGGGCTCAAGTGTTAAGGCCCGAAAGAAACCAGCTCGGATCCGCGCCTGAACAACTCACACGCGAAGCTGGAGAGTCTCGTCGCTTGATTGTGATGACCAGAGGAATAGCTCCTTGCACTTCCACTACCATTAATCCTAGAAAGATTAATGACAACTCCTTGGGTCCACTTAGTTGGAGAGTACGATGAACATGTTCTTCTTTTGTCTAGAAAATTTGTAAAAGATCATTTACTATCCCTTGTGTCTTCGACATTAGCGTCAAAATAATAATAAACCATAAAAAACCTTAAATATTCATGTCCGACGCAGACTACGGCAAACGGCATCGTTCTCGGCTCTTTGTATCCTCGACGACAACCGTAGAGTAGAGGGACCATAATTTATTCGCGAGCGAAGCTCGGATAGCAGCCCTATCGCGATCCACAGAGCTCTTACATTTCGTCCGCGACGTATACTCCGGTGATTATACTCCGTCGTGTGCGAACAATATCACAAATTAATCTCGTGCGCGCACGATATTCTTAATCGCTTGTAATGGAGAGATTAAAAGCTGGGGAAGGACAAAGAAGAATTAAATAAGAGTAAACTGAAGAGGAAACACGGGTGTCATGAAATTATTCGCAGTGAACGTCGGCGCTGATGATTCCTAAAGAGATTAATGTTCGCGGGAAAGCGGTCGTAAACGTTTCGCGCGTGTACTCGAAATACATAGTGCCATAGAGTTCTCAATGAAACATCTTATCGCTCGAATCCGTTGAAACGAATAACAGTTGACAGACATCATAGCGATCCTATTAAACAACGATACAAAATACACAACTATTTCGTACAATCAAATATTTCGAGTACGCTTGAACATCGACAAATTCGAGAACGCACGCGAGAAACTCTCGAGAATACCGATCGGCCAGCCAAAACGTGATTCAAATGAGGCAAGGCGACGCAAGCCGTTGCGCCGGGCCGTTCTGGTTTTAGCGCCATGTTTTGCGTTACAGTCTATAGTCTGTACCGCGACGGTAAACAGGATTATGAGTAACTCCGCTCGGGCAGCTATCAGGCGCGCGCGTTGGCTTTTTAAAAATACCAAGCTACACGGGACTGAAATTCCTCGCGTTACGAGAAGGCTGCGCTATCTCGGGGACTGTAACGCGCGTTGTAATATAGCCCGCGCCTCCTACGGGGGCCGTGTTACCAACATCGCCACGTAAATTCGCCGCGGCCCACATACATTACCCGACAACTTGTCTTCCCCGTATCTAGCGAACAATTAATCACCGTAACGCGGCGATTAAACCTCCGACTCGGAGTATGCGGGGATATCGATTCAAACGAATCGGATGCAAAACATGGTTCCACGACGACGCCGGGGCATGGTATTGTTCACCCCGCCGCGCACGCATACCGCCGCGAACGGCCCGCAACACCGATGGAGATGTCTCTCTGTATCGAGTACTCCCCTACCTCCCACTATTGCCATTTAACTCGCGGTGGCTACTCGCAGTGTCTCTCATCTTAGACGGAGCGAGGAAGGGCACACGGTATTCGTACACCCCTGCGTCCCGCTTTCAATTAAAGACTCTATTGTATCAACTGAAGTGCAAACAGCAGAAATCAGAGGCGCACGAGTACTCCTTTCTGTCCCTCCGCAGTAAGTGTTCATTAAGTACCACATTATACTGTTCCGGCGGCGTGGAGGGATTTTGTTTGCGGTGCTACTCCTCGTGGAAGTGCCTTTACAGCGATCTCCGCTAAGCTGCCCCAGCCATGGGACTCTTAGGTCCCTCGCGCGCTTCAGAATCCCTCCGCCTGGACATTGTTATCGAAGATAATAGTTGGCAACGGTACAGACGTCTATCGATAAACAGCGTGTCGGTGTGCGCGATACAAAAATTTGAACAAAAGGTACGTACACAACTGTCTGAAAGGATCGTCTCGTTGAACGGATACCTCAGACGCGACGTCTGGGGCGTGGAAACACCGTGACACGGTCCTGTCGGTGGCTATCGTTTTAATATTTATGACTTCCCTTTCGCAAGGATCAAGCGAACATCGCTGACCGATCATTATCCTGAAACTACCGACGCTAACGCGCGCGTCGTGAGTTAAGATAACCGTTACGGGGAAAAATTCCGTTAACGAACGTCAACGCTGACGGTGGTAATACCAGCGACGCGATGCGATGCGATGCGATGCGACGCTTCGATTCGATTCGGTCTACATTCCCAATAAGCGCGTGCAACCGGGGACGATTTTTTGCCGCGAATACCTCGACTTCCCGAACGCGGCCGGGGAGGCAAAGGTGGAGACCAACCAGATTAACGAGGTGGCTCGCTATAGCTGTACATATTGTATGCCATATATTGCGCGGGCACGTTTCGCTGGTAGCCCGTTTTTCTCGGAACGCATAGAAGAAGCTAGAACTTCTTCCTCCGCGAACCTCGGGTCGTATACATTCGCTGGTTCCTTAATTGCCTGGCAGAAGTGGTTTCTCGCTCAGGGGGTACACGGCGACCGGTCTCTTTCCGACGCGTGCACACTCTGCCGACCGAGCACGGTTTCGTGCGACCTTCCGCGCAATCCTGTTCCACGATCGTGGGACGGCCCGATGAAAAATCGCTTGCGCAAAGGTTCGCTGCACCGTCGCCGCGGCATTCGATGTTTCTTCACGACCGGCTGAACTGGATTTAAAGCAAACAGGATCTCGCGATCCTGTTACAGCCGCGTCCCGAGAATTATCGATTGCGCTTGTGTACAGTCGGTTTGTTTAGGTTGACGGTTCATCTAACGCGATGGTGTTATGCCAATCAGCCAGAGTTCCGATACCCGATCGTACGTAGAGTTTGAAGATCATTCGACTGTATCATGTCGTTACGTCTGGTAACAGCTGTTCGTATTGTTTATATTATTATGTTAGGTCTTGGTTATTGCTTTTTTTCTTTTGTATAAGGGCACGTTACTCTATTGTTTTCAGACGGTAGATGTTGGACGTTTATTCTTACTGATTGCATCCGCTTATGTATCCTCATTTCGCGATAGATTTATCATGAACGAAAACGATTGAAAATATCGTTCGTTTGACGTCTCTGGGTTAGCGGGTTGACGTCGAATAAAATGAAGACTTATACGCGATCATACTACACGTACACGGTTGATACGTGCACGGGGAGTGATTGTCAGAAGTGATATAGCGCGGGGGAGTAAATCACGACGGCATTAAGACAATTAGGCGGAGAACTGGACAGGCCGAGCAGCGTCAGTCGACGTGTCTTGGACAGAAACAGATGTCTGATATGCCTTTTATTTCGACGCCACGGTCAGCCGCGACGTGCACGTATATGTTAAACACTTATTCGATCCGCAGAGCGTACGTAGGATAAATGCATGGGCGTCGATGCAGGGTATTAAGAACGTGACCAACAACGTATCGAATATCGTGGCTCGGTACGTCGAATCATGTATTTGCCTGCTAAAGATCGGCATGCCAGTGGAGACTCGATATCGAGGAGGTCGTTATTACACCGAGAACGCTCTAACGGAATAAAATGGAAACTCGAAATGCTTAATCGAGTTTTCATTTTATTTCGAATCGATTGAAATTGTTCAGAAAGAATGGCATTTTCATACCGAGCATCTGATCACTGTGGTAAATTTGCTTCGACAACTGTGAATCTTCATGGACGTCCAGTGATTATATTTGTATAGTGAAATGTTACCGAGGACCATGTGTACGATACGATCGGGGGCGTGCATGTGTGCGCAAAAGTCCGTGGCGTGGTCGTGCAATTGTGCGAAGGAAATGAGATCAAGTTTGACTGATTGCGGACAGCGGTTGAAGAGAGGTGGAGAGCAGCAGGGAATGTAGATAGGACAGTTCAAGAACCGAATCTACAGATCGGTAGCTGGATATACTGGAACAGACCAAGTGTACGATTTAATAAAATCAAAGGAAGAAAACCGTAAACGGATTAACAATGTTGTATTGTTAACTATGCACTGGGGAATCTTGGTGGCCGAGATTTCTCGTTTCAATAAGTACACCGTCGATTAAGATTGCTTTCAAAAATAAACATTTATTTCAAAATTAATGCTTACCAGCTGTATCCTAAAAACTAAGATCTATTCTATACACCGACTGTGTTTAGGTGTTGTTCTTAAGACCTCTTAAGAATTCATTGCATTATTAAGTTGTGTACAATTTGTTTTCTTACTTTGTTTTTGTGTAGTACCGTATTAGGTTCCGCAGCAATAATCAATTGCTTTTTTCTGATTTACACAATCACATGATCATCTCCTTGCACACACACATATGTTACATATCAATGGCAGTTACCAGAATGAGTTCCACATGATATCTAATGATTCAAAT